GTCGAATGACCCTTTCACAGGGGTCGCCTAAGACCATCCTGCATATCAGATATTTGCATTACGATTCATAACAGTAGCAACATTACAGTTATGAAGTAGCAACGAAAATAATTTTATGGTTGGGTCACAACATGAGGAACTGTATTTAAAGGGCCAGAAGGTTGAGAACCACTGGGTTAGGGCCTGCTGATTGCAGCTCATTGCTTCTGTCTCCTCACACCTAAGCTTGGAGGGGCTTTGAGGGGACCAAGAGCACCCATCTGGCCCATAGAGAATGAGAGAGACAGAGATAAGGAGGGAGAGGGTTAAAGGCCATGATTGACCAGTTTTTCTCTTCTTATCTTGGTAACTGGCTCACAGTCAACTGTTCCTTTAATCTTGTGTCTGCTCTAGAAGGAAAAGACATTTTACTTAGAAAAGCCTCTCTTGACAGCATGGGGTTTGTCTGAAGAGGAATAAAAGAAGACGTGAGGGGAAAACACTTCTTTTGATTTTTTTCTCAAAATATAGGGGAGGGCAGTTATGAGAAAAAGTACAGTTTAGTAGTTGAAATTGTTCATCTTTGTTTCATCCCAACAACCTCTGAGGATTTTATCTTGGAGAGCTCAAATTACAAGATGCATAATTTTTCTCTTTCAAATGGTGTATTTTAGACATTTTAAGAACATTTTCTCAGCATTTAAGAAAGACTAGTTTAATCTTGTAAATTATTAATCAAATAGTATTAAAAAATCTATTTTTTTAAATTGATTTTTAAAGAGAGATGAAGAGAAAAGGAGAGAGAGAAACATCTATCGGCTGCCTCTGGCACGCCCCCAACTGGGTATCTAGCCTGCAAGTGAACTGGCAACTTTTGGATGCTTGGGACACCACCCAACCAACTAGCCACACTGGCAAGGGCTGAAAAAAATCTTTTGAAGTAACTTTACCTAGCTTAATTGGCTTATTATGTATAAAATGAGGCAATGTCAGGCACCTTGTAATTTTATAGGTAAAATATTTTTTAAAGTTTTTTCCCCCCTGAAATAATTAAACAGTATCTACAGAATTGAATGTGTCCCAAAGATGTGCTGTATTGGGAGCTTTTTGGTAAGAAGTGAGATGCCTACCTCCTCCTAAATTATAAAATGGCACTTTTCCTCACCTGTTGAATTTGAAGTAGGTATCCTGGTCATCTCTAAATTGGATTGTAGTTGGGAGGAGACAGAAAAATACCTTTAACTGTTGGTTACTCCTACTGTTCACTCCTCTTGTTCCCTGCTTCCATGGTCCCCAGGTCCCTGTGAATCTGTCAGCTCTAGGTTTGGAGGGGATGAATGGGAGTGAGTGAGCACACAGAGCTTCAAGCAAGGGGTATTCCTGAAGGGCCAGTACAGGAGGGGGAACGAGGCAGGTGAAGTCAGTGGGCATGATGGCCAGAGGTAGGCAAGGAGCCAGAAGTGCAGGACTTCCCAGCAGCTGGCATTTGTGGTGCCATAGAGAAAATGGACCCTTGTATCACAGAAGTCATAGAAACCCAGGGCTTGCACCTTATTACAGCCTTCCCAAACTTGTTGAAATTGGTGTGCTAGTCAAATCACCTGCAGCTCCTCAGCAAACTAGATGCTCTATTATTCTTAAACATGGAAATCATTAAATTGGAGATCACATCATTTCAAAGTCTGGTTTGTCCAGCCCCTGTACTTTAGTGGGATTTTTACTGCACATATGGAGTGGCCTTGGCAAAAGAACACATTCTTTAAAAACATTTAGGGAAAACTATTGCACGTGAAGATCTGTAAGGCTAATGACCTTTTTTCTGCACTTTCAGATTTTCAAATGACAAAACAGTACTAGTATGGGAAGTAAAACCTCATTAAGTTGATAGTGTTTTATTCAAAATAGCATGGCATTCTAAGCAGTTGCTCTCTCCAAGCTAACTAGAGGCCCTATTGTTCATTAAGAATAAAATGTCAACAAAGCAGAATGCTCTTAATTCAAAGGTCCTCTTTCCCAGTCCTCTGTTTTCACTTTGAAAAATCCATTTTGCATAAGAATGGACAATGATTAAAATAGGGAAAAGAGAAACTTTAAAAAGGAAATCGGGGAGTTTTCGTTTCCTGGAGAATGTTGTGTGTGCTGTTAAATGAACTTACCACACTCGTACAGGTCTGGTTCCATTTTGATTTGGGATTTTGGCAAACAATTTTCTCTGATAAAGTTTGAAGGGGTTGAGCTTTAAAAATAAAACAAGAAGTTCAGTTTCAACAAAATATTTGGAGACACTTATGTTTGAAATCCCGTTTCCTAACCAGGTAAGCATTTCTACTCAAAAGACAGGCTACATCTACCTTGAACTCCTTTGACCATGACAGATTTTCATGGCAATACCCCTCCTCCCATAAGAGGTTTATACTAATAAATGTCTGACTTAATTCATTTATACATTTTGGTAAGAAAATAAGATTGTGCAAGGGTGAAATTCAGCCCCCATGTTTTGTCTGAATTACCACAATTTCCTAAATTAATGGGGTTGGAATTAATAAGATTTTCATGGACACATCGAATGGTCATATAGGCCATTTCTTTAGCCAGATATCATTTGAGGACAGGTTAATACAGGAATTTGGCAATAAATTGGTATAATAAATGTATGACTATAATTTATTTATATATTTTGGTAGAAAAATAAATGATTATGCATGGGTAAACTTCAGCCCCCATGAATTACCACAACTTCCAAATTAATGAGGTTGGAAGTAATAAGATTTTCATTGACATATGGAATTGACAGATCAGCACAGTATTATTTGGCTCTATCCCCTCTCTTTTCCTAAATTCTGAACATGGCATTTCAAAATTCCCATGCAGACTTATTCACAGCCCCAATACATTGCTCTTTACCTCTCCCCCTTGAGAAGCTCATGTTGGAATCTGTGAGGAGGAAGAGATAAAGAAAATATGAATGAGCTGGGCATTTGTATGAATTAAATTTGAGTTCTATATAGACACGGTATTCACACAAGAATGAAGCTAAACTCTGAATATGGCCATCTTTATGTACAACTACCTGATTAACTCTTTTCAACCAAATATACCATCCTTTTCCCTCTACGGATTTCTGCATGAACAGTTGAATGGCCATAGAGTTATTTAATTTGATCTTCAGGAGGATCAAAAACATTGTCGTGACCATTTTATGGTTCCATGTTATTTGGTCAAGTCAGTATGGTGTGTGCCTTCAGAAATACATAGATGTAATGCTTACCCAAAATGATTTCAGGTTTTTAGATTTGAAAACTCTTCCTCTGTATTGACTCTAGGGATAATTTAGATATTGTAAAGGTACGCCCAAAGTGATCTACTTCAACAGCAATAATTAGGATATTTCTGACCTGAACACGTTGATTTTAGGATTGTGTTGAACAGGTCTGATGCTTCCCAGGTATTGAGAAGCCATCCTGTTTGTTATTTCTGACTCTCTTATATTTCTCTCCCACATCTGCAGAGAGCTTAAAGGCGTTAGAGCGAACTGCAGGTGGAAAAGACACATGGGTGTGCCTGGAGGAAGGAAAATGTTTATCCTGACACTTGCTCCCCATGTGGAGATTATATTTCTTGTCTATGACCTCATGGACACTAAAGACATTTCTAATGGGCACATCACTACTGATGGGAATTGTGAGTTTTGTAGAACTTTGGCCACCTCTAGTTGAATTTTTTTTTTGGGGGGGTACTGTTTGACCAAAAAGGCCTATTTGGACCTCCCTTCTTGCCCCCTCAACCGACACAAGTGACTGGTAGGGGAGATTTGGAGGATTCTTCTGAGCATCCCAATTCAATCACAAAGGAAAAGTTATAAAATAGTGGCATAATTTCTGTCCCACTATTATTCAAGTAGGAGAAAGGAAATAAATTAGTGTCTATTGATAGTTTTCCATTTGCACAAAATGACCTTGGTTCCAGCCCATGCACAAACCTAGGGTTTTACAGAAAAAAAGTCAACTATTTAGCCTCATGCTATTTCTCTATCTTCTCCCTTGGACTAGCTTCCCATTTCAAACATGCCCTATTTTCCTCTTCCACTTTTCTGGACCCCTGTAGAGCAGGGGTGGGGAACATTTTTTTCTGCCAAGGACCATTTGGATATTTATAACATAATTTGTGGGCCATACAAAATTATCAACTTAAAGATTAACCTGCTAAGACACTGGGGGGTAGGGTAGGCTGGAGGAAGGTCAAGGGGGGGAAAAAGGAAACAAATGTACTACTCTTTGTAATATTTTAAGCAATAAAACAAAATTAAAAAAAGAAAAATACGGGAAAAAGTCATCAATACATATTGATATGTATTCTTAATATATTATGTATGACATTTCTTCTGAAAAAAAATTAACCTGCTATATTTGGTCAAACATTTAATTAACTCATCCCTAATGCCTTGGCAGGGCCAGACCAAATGATTTTGTGGGTCTTACATGGCTCGCAGGCCAGGCGTTCCCCACCCCTGCTGTAGAGGATCTGGAAACTTTGGTATTTTAGCTACATGATGCTTTTGTCTTAGTTTCCACAATAGTCTTCGCACCAGATTGTGCATCTCATACATTGATCAGTCAGCCAGGTTCTGCTTATTGGGTTCCATGAATGATTTGGTCCATTGCTTTTCTTTCAGTTAAACATAGGCTGTAACCCTTGCCCATTACCTCCTGACATGAGGTCCTAAAAGTCCTTAAGTTCATAGACTTCATCTTCCTTTTCCCTCAGAGTGAAAGCTGACACCTTGTAGCTCTGGGGAGACAGACCAAATACCAAGTCCAGGTCCAAAATGGATAGACCTTGTTGCTTTAAGAAATTTGGAGCCTAATAATTTTTTTTGGGAAATTTCAGTCAGAATCCTCAAGTCTGTGCTTTGAGGGACACACTTTTAAAGGAAGACACCGTTCCTACCTCTTCCATATATTTATCTATCTTGTGGCGAGATGGATGTGTGCAACACCTTTGCCTGGAATGGTATGGGTTGGTGTTAATGGGATTGTGAATGATCCATTGAAAAGAAATCTGTTCCTGTTTTCTGTACTGTAGGCAGTTCAAGGTTTGCCTTAGAACCCACTTCAAGGAGAAGTGGCAGAATTGTGAGAAGGGACAGCCTTGCCTTCAGTCCCATTCTCTGTGCCAGCTTCGGTTCCAGGAAGGTCTGGGTGGCTATCTTCTTTTGGGGGCTTTTCCTTGCAGAAGAACTTCTTCAGCATATCCTGAATTTCCTTCTTGATGGTCTTGTGCATGTACCCATAGATGTAGGGGTGGATGCAGCACTGCAGGAAGAAAAGCCAGATTATTATGGTGATCACCCACTGGGGTACCTTGGTTTGGATATCCACCCACACAGCTAGGACCGCTAGAAAGCAGTAGGGCCCCAGGGATAGCACGTAGGAGAAAATGATGAGGAAGATCACTTTAGCAGCTTTGCACTGGTAGCACCTGGGCAGAGGAAGGTCATTGTTGCTGTTTCGACGACTTGGTGGGAGACTCTCTGGGATGTTCACTGCTTCGATGTCATCCTCACTGAAATTGATGTTGTCCTCATCAAAGTCCATGTCATCTTCACCCAAGTCAATGTTGCACTGGTTGACCTCTATGTGACTGCTGCCTGCTTGCATGCTGCTCTCAGTTTTGGTATCACCTTCTTTACCCTCCATGCTGCCATCGTTGGCTATGAAGCTGCTTTCTCTGACCTCCTTGCTGCCCTTGGCCTCCATGCTCCCTTCCTTGGCTTCCATGCTGCCCTCTTCGGCCTCCACACTGCCCTCCTTCACCTTGATCTCACCTTCATTCTGGCTGTGGAACTTACTCTCACCCTGGAACTTATCTTTCTTCTCTCCCTCTTCGTCCTCATTCTCCACACAGTCCTTGGCCCGAACCTTCAAGCTGTGGCTCTTGACGTTGTATAGAAGAGCATGCTGACGCCGGGCTGCACCAAACACCACAGAGTAGCAGGCAATCATGACAGCCAGTGGAATGATGATAAAGGACACCACACTGAGAATGGTGTAGCTGGGGCTGGCCCCCCAGATCATGGAGCAGAGGGCATTATGCTCATCAAAGGCAGCCTGACCCCAGCCATAGAGTGGGGGTGTGCTCTGCAGGATGGCCAAGATCCAGGTGCCATAGAGGAGCATGTAACCCCGGCGTGGGGTCATTTTGGCTGGGTAGGAGAGTGGGTGGATGATAGACAGGTAGCGATCCACTGACACTACAACGATGGTGTTGACACTGGCAAAGGCGAACAGGTGAGTGAGGCTAACCAGGGCAGTACAGAAGTGGCTGTTGAGGGGCCAGAAGAGAGGCACAGAAATGGCCACTACCCAGGGGGCCACGAGTGAAACTTGCAGCAGGTCAGTGATGAGGAGGTTAAAGATGAAGCGGTTGGTCACCTGCAGCAGCTGAGGCTTGCGCTGCAACACGAGTGCTAGCACTATGTTGCCAATGAATGAAGCAGTGAGAAAGATGAGCAGCACGCTCGAGCGGATGATGCCGTGAGCCAGGCTGATGGGCATTTTGGAAAATGGGATGCACGTGTGGCTGCTGTTGCTTTCCCGAGTAGTGTTGGTGCAGGTGGAGGTCATGTCGGTGGTAGGCGTATGTAAGACAGGGTTCAGGCTTGGAGCCGGCACCAGCAGGCGGTAAAGGGGTGCACAGACCACACTCACTGCTGAGGATGAAAGAAAGAAACACGTGGGCCAGGTTAGTCACCGAGGGGGCACAAGCTTCAGGGCTTCAGCACCTGGCAGCAGTGCTGCCTAATCCCGTCCCCAAGGTTATCACGCAGCCTCCTTTGCCTTTCTCTCAATCCTTCTCTTACTCTCCAAGTCTCTCTGCCTCTTTCTAGGGGTTCTCCGAGTCCCGCCCACTTGTCTCTCCTAGTGGAGCGTGCATGTCTGTGCTACTATCTTTGAGTCACACAGTTTGGGTTTCTCAAGTTTCCCCAGCTGTCTCTCCCGGTAGCGCCTGCACGTGCTCTGTGTCCCAGCCTGTTTACGTTTAATTCTTTCTCTTCAGTGTCTCTAGAATACTTTTTCTGTATCTCCTGAAGTGTGTGTACATGTCTCACAGTTTTACTCCAACTTTCTCACCCCTGCTTCTCACTTTGCCCTCTGTCTCTATTTCTTAGACTCTTGCTAGCACAATCGTGCTCTGTCAGTCTCTGTCAGCTCGTCACATTTCATTTCTGTCTCTTGTGTACTCCAGTCTCTCAAACTCTTGGTCAGTTTGTCTCTCAGTCTCTCTGTGTCTCTTTCACTAGCAGACTTTCTCTGTAGCTGTGTATGTGTGTCTCCATCTCTCTTCCTCTTTCTCTCAGCCTTGTCACTGTCTCTTCCTCCATCTCTTTCTGATGCACTCTTGTTTCTCTTTGTGTCTCTGCCTGTCACTGACTGTGGCTCACTAGAACACGTACTTCCAGGTCTTTTCCTGATGTCTTGTCTCTCCATTTCTCTGACAATCTTTGTGGGTCCCTAACGCACCTGCTCAGTATCACTCGTTGTATGTGTGTCCTGTAAGTCTCTGTGTCTCTCCAACTCTCCTGTTGCCATGTTTCCCTCTGATTCTCTATGTTGTCACTTTCTATTGCTGTGTTTTCTCTTTCCTAAATCCTCTCATTTCTGTGTCTCTTTGTCCTCCCCTGATGTTTGTCTCTTCATGTGTTAAGTTCTCTCTTTATCACTGTCTGTCTGTCTCTTTCCTTTGCTCTCTGAAGATCTACTGCTTGTCCCTCTTGATTATCTGTTTCTCCGTTGCTCAGGCTCACTCTCTGTCACGTGCAATTAGAGTCGGTTTTTGTGTCTCACTCTCCCCCAGAGAATCTCGCTAAACACTTTCTGTGTATATTTCAGTGTGTGTGCATCTCTGTCTGTCTTCATTTTTCTCCGATGATCCCTCACCTCGGTTTTTCTCTGGCTGGATCTCTGCCTGTGATCTCTATCTCACTGTCGACTTAATTTTGCCATGGAAACCAGCTGCCACCTTGTCCACCAAGGGCTCTAGCGGATAAATCTCCTAGTTTCTCAGCAGCATAGCCGTGGTGGATGCAGGGAGGATGCC